GGGGGCTCCGGGGGTGGCTCTGGCTGACAGCAGCATCAGCCCCGCTCTGCCGCTGCCAGTCCTTCACCCAGAGCATGGAGGCCCTGGCTGAGCAGTGGAGGGACCTGCACGCCAGGAGGGCCCAGCTGAAAGCACACGTGGTGGCATCGGGGGCGACTGTAAAGGTACACCTGGCACACCTGGCACACCTGGCACACCTCATACACCAGGCACACCTGGCACACCTCATACATCTGGCACACTTCATACACCTGGCACATCAGCACACCTGGTACACTTCATACACTTCATACACCTGGCACACCTGATACACCTGGCACACCTGGCACACCTGATACACCTGGCACACCTGGCACACTGCCCCCGCTCCCCCCTCTCCCTGGAAGAGCCCTGGCTCGGCGCTCCCGGCCGTGCCCCCCTGAGGCCGGGGCTGGGGTTTGTGCCCCGGTGAGGAGGGGCTGGTCTGGCAGGCACAGCCCCACCGGGGCTGCCCCCAGGCCTGAGGGACACTGCCAGGGTGGCCCTGGGACACGGAGGGAGTGCTCAGCAGTGCCGGGGTGTCCTGGCAGTGCCCTGGGTGACCCAGCTCTGCCTTCCCGTGCCTCCCTCCCCCTCTGGCTGAGCGTGGTGTGGGAACCCCCCCCAGGAGAAGGAAAGGCTACGAACCCAAGCTCTGAAGAAAGCCAAAGAAGAGAAAGAGGAGAATTCAAAAAAGGAGAGTGAGGTCTTGAGGGCTAGGATGGAACTGGAAGCCCTGAGGAAACAGCACCAGAAGCTCTCAAAGAAATTGCAGAAGTACTCCCTGTTCAAGAGGTACCTGGAGGATGTGGTGGAGAACTCACAGGTGAGCGTGGACGAGGCTCGGGGACGGCCTCGCCTGGGTTGGACCAGAGGGGACGAAGCAGGGCCAGGGAAATGCACACCTGATCAGAGCCAGAACTCCAGGAGGGCTGGGAAGGGTCCCCTGGCAACCGAGGCGGGCCACAGGGAGCAGGGGCAGGAGGGAACCAGAACAGAGAACTGAGAAAAGGGAACAAAAACCATGAGAAAGGGGAAAGCTCAGCGCTGAGGGCAGCAGGGTCCCCTTGGTGCCACCATTCCAGGTCACACCGGTGGTCTGGCAGAGGTGAGAGCTGCCCAGAGCGGGAGCGGGCGCTTGTGAGGAAAGCTGTGCCTCCTCTCAGGGGTGCTGGGGCACCTCTCCCTGCACCCCTCGTGCTCCTGCTGCTCCCCCGGGCACCCGGAGCTGCTGTGTTTGTCCCAGCGCTGTTCCCCTGGGCACAGCTGTACCACCTCCCTGTGCCACTGCCAGTCCTGGGCCTGGCCCCGGGCACGGCACGGCCCAGGGGACGTGGCTGTGCTCAGGGACAGCAAGACCATGGAGGAGGGAGAACCTTCCAGGGGGGAGCCTTGGCCTGCTCAGGGCAGGGGAACCTGGGCAGGGCAGGGCAGGGCAGGGTGTCCCTGACCCAGGACAGGGTGTCCCTGACCGAGGGCAGGGTGTCCCTGACCCAGGACAGGGTGTCACCGACCCAGGGCAGGGTGTCCCTGACCCAGGACAGGGTGTCCCTGACCCAGGACAGGGTGTCACCGACCCAGGGCAGGGTGTCCCTGACCCAGGACAGGGTGTCACTGACCCGGGACAGGGTGTCCCTGACCCAGGACAGGGTGTCCCTGACCCAGGGCAGGGTGTCACCGACCCAGGACAGGGTGTCCCTGACCCAGGACAGGGTGTCCCTGACCCAGGACCCTGTGCTGCAGTTCCATGACATCGATGACCTCATCACCTACTACAAGGCCCTGCTGAGGACACGCAAGGACCTGCTGCAGTCCCAGTGGTGGCAGCGGCAGCTGACGGAGCAGGGCAAGAGCCTGCAGCAGCAGATCAGGGCAGAGAAGGAGGCTGAGATGCTTCAGTGCAAGAACGACCTCCTGCAGCTCAAGGAATCTTTTGAGCAGGCTCAGAGTGACATCCGCCAGTGGGTAAGGAGCTGTGGGGTGTTCACAGGGGCTCTCCAAGGCCTGGGGGCCAGGAGAGGCTTCTCCTGCAGCCAGGGGCTCGTGGCAGAGCCCAGCAGCAGTGTGAGGTGGGGGTGATGCCCGACCCTCAGGGCAGCAGTGTGAGGTGCAGGAGATGCCCGACCCTCGGGGCAGCAGTGTGAGGTGGGGGTGATGCCCGACCCTCAGGGCAGCAGTGTGAGGTGCAGGAGATGCCCGACCCTCGGGGCAGCAGTGTGAGGTGGAGGTGATGCCCGGTCCCATCCCTGCAGGGGCTGCAGGAGGAGGGAGAGCCCGGCTGTGGGGCAGGTTTGTCACCAGAGGAGCTGGGGGCAGCCCTGCAGGGAGCTGTCCCTGCTGCGGGGCGGGCACGGGGCTGGCAGGGGACGTGCCAGGGTGGCACTGCAGGGCTGCAGCCCAGCCGGGCTGGCTCCTGGCCCTGCTCCCAGCGCACCGGGCTGCGCCGGCTCCTTCCCAGCCCGGAGGAATCTGGAATTCGGGGTCCAAGCCGGGCTCCCGGGGCTGAAGCAGCTGTGCTGGGACGTGTCTGCTGTCCCCAGGAGGATCGCTGGGCCGAGCTGCAGGACAGGGCTGCCAGGAAGGCCACGGAGCTGAAGTGCCTCACCATGGCCATCCACAGCCTGTTCCAGGCCGCCAGCGCGCGGCTGCAGCCGCAGGGCAGGGTGGCAGCTGGGGACAGCCACAGGCAGCTGGACACGGTAACGCCAGCACGGCCACCCCGGCCAGCAGGACAGGGGTGCAGATCCAGGGTCTGATCCACGGCCAGGCTCTGGTTCCATTCCATTCCCCCACAGAGGCACTCTGGTGCTGCACCTGCTTTCCTGTCCTGTCCCTCACCTTGGGGACATCTGCCCTCCACAGGGGACAGGCTCCCCTCTGCCTCCCGTTCCCACTCCTGCCTGACCCTGCCCTCTCCCCCCCCAAGATCCAGCAGTTCATCCACGACCTCCAGGACTTCACGGAGGACATGAAGGAGCGTGGCCGAGCTCTGTGAGAGCCGCCCTGCCAGCGAGGGAGCAGCAGGGTGGGCAGGGGAAGGGGAGGACGAGAGAACCCCGCAGATACTGCAGACTAAAAAAACAGCAAATATTTTAAGGCATCTCTTCATCTCCTGCTGATCTGCCCTGCTCTTCTGTGAGCCCAAAGACTCAGGAGCAGAAGGGAGAGAAAAGCAGAGGGGAGTGAGCCCTGCTGGCTCTCGGGGCTCCCAGGGGTCTCATGGACACTGACGGTGCCACCAAGAGCTTCTGCCTCACCACAGGGCACAGGGGATGCCGTGCCTCTGTGCCCTGCCTCTCATCCCAGCGGTGACACTGCCCAAGGGACAGGGCCATCCACACCCCTCCTGAGAGGCGACTCAGCTGTCCCTGCCCTGCCACACGGCCACCCACGGCCACCATGGCCACCCACAGCCACCCCCGGCCACCCACGGCCACCCCCGGCCACCCATGGCCACCCTGACACCCACCTGGGCCCCTCTCTCTGCTGGCAGGAGCTCATGGGATGGGAGCAGCTCTGCCCCTGCCCTGCGAGGGACAGTGGGGACACAGCTGTGCCCCGTCCTGTGAGGGACAGTGGGGACACGGCTGTGCCCAGGGGCTGTGGAGGCCACTGAGGGAAGGGAAGCGAGGCTCAGAGGCAGAAGTGGAAGGGTTGGGGGTCTTGTGCAGCAGCAGGAGCTGCTCTGGGGGTTCCAGGGAGCTCCCGAGCCCAGCCTAACCGTCCAGGGTCAGCGTCTGTTCCTCTCTGCCCACCCTGCCCCTGCGGGGTCACAGCTGAGCCAGCTCCTGAGCGGCCCCGGGAGGAAAAGCACCGGGAGCTTCCAGCAGAGGTTTATTGGTTTGGGTTGAGATCGATGCGCACGAAGCAGTGTCCCTCCCGAGGGCTGGGCTCCTCTCCCAGCCCCTCCCTCAGTGCCGTGTGCCCGGGGGGCGGCCGCAGGTGGGACAGACGGACAGAGCCTGGTCCTCCTCCTGCCTGCCCTGGCACTGCTCCCAGCCCTGTTCCTGCTCCAGCCCTATTCCCAGCCCTGCTCCTGCTCCTGTCCCTGCTCCCGGCCCTGTTCCCAGCCCTATTCCCAGCCCTGCTCCTGTCCCCGCTCCCAGCCCAGGCTGGCTCGAGGGCAGCTCTGCAGCCCAGGGCTCCCCTGGCTCCCCCTCAGCCCCACCACACTCACTGGCTGGGTCACTCACTGTCCGGGTAAGGCCCTGGCAGGGCAGAGAGGAGCTTTTGGTGTGTGGAACTAAGAAATCCCTGTGGGCCAAGCAAGGCAGCGCTGGAGAACCTCTGGAGTGGCCCAGGACGGGATCAGCTCCAGACGGGATCAGCTCCAGACGGGATCAGCTCCAGGATGAGATCAGCTCCGGGCTGGAACCTCCCATGGACCCTCCCAGGGTGGAGCAGGGTGTTCGTGTTCTCCGGGCAGCAGGGTTTTCATCCCTCAGCCCGGTGTGGGATGCTCTGCCCCGTGCCAGGGGCTCCCTGCTGCTGGCACAGTCTCCAGGCCAAGGTGGGACGTGGTGTCTGCACTGCCAGGGAGGGCCTGGGGCCACCAGGACCTGTGCCAGCCCTGGAGCTGCCCAGCCAGCCTGGAGCCACCAGGAGCTGTGCCAACCCCGGGGCCACCAGGAGCTGTGCCAACCCCGGGGCCACCAGGAGCCGTGCCAGCGCCGGGGCTGCCCGGCCGGCCGGGCGCTTGGTGCTGCTGCGGGGAGCTGTGGGCAGTGACGGGCGCTGGATCTCTCGGAGGAGAGCGGGCAGCGGCTCTGGCTGCAGAGCTGGGGAGCAGAGGCTGCAGGAGGGGAAGCAGGAATCACGGGCACCGTCCCCTGTGCCTCCTTCTCCGGGGCCGTGGAGCCAGCCCTGCCCTGCCCTGCAGAGTGCCCTGCCCTGAGGAGGCTCCCGCTGCCTCTGGGCACACGGAGAGCTGCACGGGCACCAGATCAGTCCTGCCCAGGGCCCGCAGCCCCCGCACCTCTGGCAGCAGCCCCTGCCTCACTCCGAGCCTGTCCAGGGCTCAGGAGCTGCGCTCTGTGCTCGGCACCCGCGGGGTGAAGCCCCCCAAGCTGTCTGGGCCTTGCTGGCCCAAAAGAGCCCCTCCAAATGCCAGGTTGGGCAGCAGGGGCTGGGAGCAGGGCCCTGCACAGGGCAGGGGGCAGCCAGAGCCGGGCACGGCTGCTCCGCTGGGGATCCCCCCAAATCTCTGCCAGCTCCCTCCGGGCTGAGAGGGGAGCCCGGAGCTGCTGGGCAGGCAGCACCTCTGGGGGTGTGCCATGCCCATGGAATTCTGATCATCCTGTCCTGAGCCATTGGCACAGGCTGGGAGCTGCCTGGCACAGCTGGGAACTGCCTGGCACGGCTGGGAACTGCCTGCTTGGCTCAGCTGCCACAGGATTGCCCTGAGCCGCTGTCACGGCACAGCCCTGCTCCCAAAATCATGGCTCATCCCTGTGGGGCTCTCCAGGGACACCCAGCCAGCTCCAGGGAAGGGCCAGCACCAAGGAACGCCCTCCTGCCCATCCCAGGTGCCCAGGCTGTGCCCCTACCACGGCCGTGTCCTGTGCTGGGGCTGGCAGTGCCCTACATGACGGAGCAGGTGAAGCCACAGCACTCCTTGAGCAGGGTCAGGCCCGTCTTGGTCACGTAGGGAGCCGAGGTTTGCTGTCCCCTCGATGTCATCCTCTTCTCTTGGACAGGAGCTGCGGGAACAGGAGCCAGGGGCACGGCCTGGGGATGGGGCACAGCCCGGGGACAGGGCACAGCCTGGGGCACAGCCTGGGGATGGGGCACAGCCCGGGGACAGGGCACAGCCTGGGACACAACCTGGGGATGGGGCACAACCTGGGGATGGGGCACAGCCCGGGGATGGGGCACAGCCCGGGGATGGGGCACAGCCCGGGGCACAGCCCAGAGAACGTGGTGCCCATCCTGCACCCAGCCGAGGTGTGAGCCAATGTTCAGGGGCCAGATGCGGGCTGGCAGCTCTGAGACCCACCCCCAGCCCCGTTCCCATGGGCCACACTGGGGAATGCCAGGAGGGAAATGGGTTCCAGGCGTTCCACGCACTGAGCCCGAGCAGCAGCACCCCCTGAGCTGCTCCCCCACCTCCCCGGGCCAGGCAGCCCCCGGCAGTGGAGCCCTGCAGGCAGGGTGCCAGGACAGGGCAGGAGTGCCAGGGGTTCCGTGCAGGCAGGGGCCCCGTGGCACCCACTGGCTCTCTGGAGGTGGCTTTTGGAGAGCTTGCTCTGCAGGAACTCGGCCATTTCCTTGTCCTCTTCCCTTTCCCTGGGACAAAGAATTTGTCACTGCTGGGAAAGGAGCAGCAAGGCCCCCGGAGCAGCAGGACACAGCTCAGAGGATGGGGTGCACAAGCAGGAGCTGAGAGCCGCCACCTGAGCCTCTCCAGCTCCACGTCATCCACCAGGAAATCCCGCCTTTCCACCAGCTTGTGGATCTGCTGCACCAGCTCTTCTTCCCTCTGCTTCTCCTCGCTGGATTTCTGGTTCTCTGCAGCACAGGGCCCCATTCACAGCCACAGGGAGCACGTTTCACACCCCCACAGGGGCCACCCCTGCCAAGACCCCGGGGATCCCAGAATCCTGAGGATCCCAGAATCCTGAGGATCCCAGCAGGATCCCAGCAGGATCCCAGCACCCCAGGGCCCCCAGCAGGATCCCAGCACCCTGAGCTTCACCTGGCAGGACCAGGAGGTTCTGGAGCTCCATTTTCAGCTGGCTGATTTCCTGGCAGAGCTGGATGTCGTCCATCCTGCAGAGACACAAACGGAGCCTCTGAGGGGAGGAGGGAGAGGAGAGGCTCCAGCCGGTGCCAGTTGGGGGGATCCCAGATTTCCCTGCCTGAAGGGAAATGGGAAATGCCAGCCCACTTCATCCCAGAGTTTTCCTGGGGTGTTGGTGCTTGGCAGAGAGAAAGTTCCATCACCTTTAAGATAACAAAGCCTTATCAAAACCTGGCCCATCTGCCAGGCAAGAGCTGCAGCGTTTCTCCCGGTCCCAGAAAATAATCCCAAAGAGCAAAACGTGAAAAGAAGTGGGAGCTGCTGCCACAGAAAAGACCTATTTTATGCCACCTTCCTGCAGAATTAAATAAAGGTAGAAACATGAAAGGCTGTGCAGAGCACCAGCAGGCCACAAGGACAACAGAGATTGCTGGGGATTTAAACTGATTTAAATGAAAATGAACAGTCCTGTTGAGAGCTGGATGATTGTTGCATTTAAATGGAAATTAATTCAGGAAAAACTGTTAGGAGGAATAAAAGACAATAAATTCTTTTTTCAATTAGAATTAGGAAGGGTTGCAGGGACAAGCGCCCAGGAGGATCCTGTGGGGCTGGGATTGCCTCCACCCCTGCCAGAGACACCTGTGGCAGCATCAGCCAGAGCCGGGGAGCACCCGGGGCCCAGCGTGGAGCTGCACCTCCCAAGGAATTCCAGAGATTTCCTTTGCCCCAAAGGAGAAGCGTTCGGTGCCTCATGGTTTCCCAGAGCTCAGACCCCTGGGAATGCTGGAATGGTTTCCCTGGCTGGGATGGTTTCCCTGGCTGGGATGGTTTCCCTGGCTGGGATGGTTTCTCTGGCATTTCCCACATGAAATCTCTGCACAGAGCCAGGGAAAATGCCCCGTGTGCCCCCGGGGCTGCTGGGCACCACTGCACACAGGGGTCTGGGTGTGAGGGCCTGGAGAGTTTCATTCCAGCACTTGTTGGGTTTTTGGAATGGGAAGAGGGTGGGCAGCGGGCTCAGCCCTGCTGGTCCCGGGGCTGGGACGCTGCTAGCAGGAGGGACGGGCAGTGCCCGGGCAGTGCCCGGCCTCTGGCACTCACATGTAGCGCAGCTCCGACTCCCGGCGCACCAGCACCTCCCGGATGCGCTCGATCCGGAACAGCTCTCCCTCGATGTCATCCATGGTGCTGCTGGAGTCAGCCATGGACACCACCCCATCCTCTGCAGAAGGAGAGGAGTGGACTGAGCAGCAGGAGAGCAGCAGGGCCCTCGGGGCGGCCCTGGAGCAGCAGCAGTGCTGGCCCTGCTCCCCGAGCCAACAGAACCCCGAATTCCCGGGGGTCTCCCCTGAGCAGGAGCCCAAGGCAGCCCGAGGGGACCTCAGGAATGTCCCTTTCTTTTCCCAGAGCCATGGAAGCCTCCAGCACATCCAGCACGGAGAGCTGAGCCTGCCCAGCACCTCCTCCTGCAAGGCCAGGAGCAAACCCTGGGCACACAAAGCTCAGAGTGAGGAGCCACAGGAATTCCTCCTGCTGCTCCCCCCATCCCACGCTGGATGAGCACCCCCATCCTTCCCAGGCCCCCCGTTCAGCTCCCTCACCCTCTGCAGTGCCGAGGATCACATCCAGCCCCCACAGGGGGAAACTGAGGCAGGAAAGGGAGGATCACCTGCTCAGGGTGAGGGGCAGGAGCTCCACAGCAAGATGTGGGCTAAAGGGGCTGCAGTTGATGTTTTAGAGGGATGGACAGGATGAAAGCCCACCCACCTCCGTCCGTGGCTCTGACCAGCAGCTCTGCCTCCCCCACTGTGACTCACACACAGATCCCACTCGTTTGCCCTGGATCACACACAGATCCCACTCGTTTGCTCTGGATCACACACAGATCCCACTCGTTTGCCCCAGCCTGTCCCAGATTTCTCTGGATCACACACAGATCCCACTCGTTTGCCCTGGATCACACACAGATCCCACTCGTTTGCCCCAGCCTGTCCCGATTTCTCTGGATGCCGTGTGGGTCCCGCAGTGCCTCCCAGGTTTATGGAATAGCTGAGGATTTGCTCCAGGCCGGCTCCTGGCTCGGGTGGCTCTCAGACTGAGCTGTCACAGAGCCGGCAGTGGCACCCTCATCCCATCCCAGCCAGGCTGTGGGACAACATTCCAAACCCTTCCAAACATCCTGGGGGGCTGCCTGCCTTCTCTGAGCCTTCGCAGGACACGTCCCCTTCCTGCAGCCCTGGGACTGTCCCCGTGCAGGAAGAGGGGGTACAGAAAGCACAGAAAGCTGCTCCAGGGGCAGATCTCCAGGCAGGGGTGCTGGGGGTGCAGGGTGTGTGCTCTGGGTGCTCCAAGCAGGAGCCAGGCCAGTGCTGAGGGTGACAGGGCAGGAAGAGACAAACTCCAGGGCACAGGACCGAACACTCTGCACCTCTGTCCTCTCCCCATCACAAAACACTGCTCGGGAAATCATCCCCAGACTGGGACACATTGCCAAGTCTTCCAGCAGGGAAGGCTTATTGTGGAAATCCAATGGTTTGGATTCATGTGAGGGGTTTGGGGAAGAGTTTTCTGCTGTTTCTGGCTCGGAAACTCATGGGGGTTTCTCGGAGGTTGTCTGGGCACAGGTCCCTCTGCCCAGGCACGCTGAGCTGATGCCAGGGCACAGCTCCTCGCTCTTTCTCCTTGGGGCTCGGGGCAGCTGTGGGGATAGGGGAGCCTCCAGCAGCCCCTGCCCAGGCTCTGCCCATCCCCTGCCCAGCCCCTCCCTGCCTCCCTCCTGGCACCGTTGCTGAGGGACCGGCCTGTGGCTGCCAGAGCATCACCGTGTGGTTGCTAAGGGACCCGAGCGCGGTTGCTAGGGGACCAGGATGCTGAGGTCCTTCATCCCAGGCATTCTGGGGCTCCGCTATCCCAGCTCCTCTGGCCTGGGATATTTTGAGCAGCTGGGGATGGCTGCAGGAGCCTGCAGCAGATGCTGCCAGATGTGCAGGGACCAGGTCAGGAGTGTCCTGTGACGTGGGGACAGAGGGAAGGTCACAGCACGGCCCAGCCGGGGCTCAGCTGGAGGGTGCCAGCCCCTGGCTGTGCCAGCCCCTGGCTGTGCCTTCAGGCGCTGTGGTCAGGTCCTGGCACTCTGCAGCCCTCAGGAATTCCAAGGAGCTGCTCCCCAAAGCAGGCAGTGCTGGATGGGACCTTCGTGTGCCTGGAGCTGCTGAACTCGGGGCAGAAGCAGAGGGAGGGCAGTGCCAGGAGAGAACTCCTGGAAAATGAACCCACAAACGCTGGGAGGGAGCACGTGGAGAAGGGGACACCCAAGGCAGGGTGCTCACTGGGATCAAGCCCACAGTCCAAATCACCCTTTGGGGATGGACAGGGAGGGACCCCTGTGTGGCCGCACTGCCCTGGGGTCCCTTTGCTCCCACAGCTCGCCCAGAGCAGCACGGCCATGCACAGAACACCCCCAGAAAACCCCACACAGAAAACGCCCCACAGAAAACCCCACATAGAACCCCCACAGAAAACCCCCCACAGAAAACCCCCCACAGAAAACCCCACACAGAAAACCCCCACAGAAAACCCCCACAGAAAACCCCCCACAGAAAACCCCCCACAGAAAACCCCCCATAGAAAACCCCCCACAGAAAACCCCCCAGCACCTGAGGCAAAGGGATCCTGCCTGGCACTGTCTCAGCCTGGCAAACCAAGGAGGGCGAGAAAGCTTTGACAGAAATTTGGAGGTGCTCTAATCATCACAGCCAGCCCAGGGAGGGCTCGCCACTAATGAGGAGTGTAATAGCCAGGGCCTTCCACTCCAGATGGTTTGGGGAAAACATTTGGACAGGCAGCAGCGAGCTGGGATGAGTCACCGCAGCCAGCAGTGCAGGGTGAGCTTCCAGCAATTTTCTTCATGACTAAAGTTGGGATATTGATGGACAGCCCCCAGTGGAGGGGCAGAGCTCTCTGTGGGGCACTCAGCCGTGTTTTCCCCTGCTCCCGAGAGCAGCAGGGACAGGGACATTCAGCCTGTCCCAGTCAGTCCCCATTCCTGAGAGCAGCAGGGACAGGGACATTCAGCCTGAGCAGGACGAGAGGCTCCAGGAGCTCAGCACTGCACAGGCTCGGTCTGAGCTTTCCTGGCGGGGAGCAAGCAGCAGAGCAGCATCCCAAGAGCAGGCAGGGATTGTCACCAGGTTCTTACCTGTCCCGAGGGTCTCACCTGCCCCAAGGTCCCCAGGGGCTGGGAGCTCACAGAACTGCACTGAACCAGCAAAATCACAGGCAGCACAGCCCTGCTCACAGGCACCCATGGGGGTGTCCAGCCCACACCCAGCAGCCTGGGTGCAGTCCCTGGCCCACCCCGATGTCACCCAGCTGCTGGGCCGAGCACTGGGTGATGAAGTACTCAGAGCCCCACGGGATCTGTAGGGGAGGACACACTGCCAGGGAAGGCACAGAGGAAAAGGACCAAAACTTCCCACAGCTCACCCAGGAGCTGAGCAGCTCCGTGGGCACCGCACGGCCCCAGGCAGTGCCCAGCAGGATGCTGGAGCTGGCTGATCCCTCCTCCCCGCCTCTCCAGCTGCCCGTCCGTGCCCGCTGGGTGCTGGGGGTGAGGGGCAGCAGAGAGGGCCAGCGAAGGGGAGGGGTCGGGGGGTGGCAGGGCAGAGGCATTGCAGGCGCCTCCCTCCGCCCAGCCCAGCACTGCGACCCTTCCTCCCAGCCCAAGGTCGAGGGCTCTGCTCAAGGCAATTCCCCGCTTGGCATCCCCCGCGCTCCTGCTGGAGGAACCGCTCGGAGGGGGACAAAGGCGGTGAGGGGCAGGGCGAGGCCTCCTGTGCCCCGCTCCCAGCCGTGCCAGGGCCGCGCAGGGCAGCAGCAGCGAGATGTGACCGTGCTCTGCCGGTGTGTCCCTCCAGACATATCCCTGCCGCCACCCTCCCTCCCTCCCAGCCAATTCTCCCCGTCCTTTCTCTCCCCCAGCCACTCCATCCATCCATCATCCATCCATCCATCCATCCATCCATCCCCCACGCGGGGCTCCGGCGGTGCCGGTGCCGGTCCGGGGACCCGGCCGGGCTCCGTTCGCCGGATGAAGCCGCCGGTTCCCCGCCAGTTCCCGGGGCTCGTGTGCCCGGATTGTCCCGGAGCCCGGCGGCGGGGGAAGCCGGGCTCGGGCGGTGCCGCTGCCGGTGCCGGCGCCGGTCTCATCCCGGTCCCGCCGCGCTCACCTGGCCCCGCGCCGGCCGGCGGCCACCGGGGGGATTCCATGGATCCGTAGCGGGGAGAAGCGCGGCTGCTCTCCATCCGCAGCGCCGCGCTCCGCTGGGGCGGGGGCTCCGCCGCTCCCTCCGCTCCGCTCTCACTGTTCCACCGCTCCGATCCCACTGTTCCAGCGCTCCCTCCGCTCCGATCCCACTGTTCCCTCCGCTCCGCTCTCACTGTTCCACCGCTCCGATCCCACTGTTCCCTCCGCTCCGCTCTCACTGTTCCACCGCTCCGATCCCACTGTTCCCTCCGCTCCGATCCCACTGTTCCCTCCGCTCCGATCCCACTGTTCCAGCGCTCCCTCCGCTCCGATCCCACTGTTCCACCGCTCCCTCCCGTCCCTGCCCCTGCCTGCAGCCCCGGCCCACCTCCGCTGCCCGGCGGCGCCCGCAGCAGCTGCGCCCCGAGGGGAGAAGGGGCAGCTCTGCCAGCGGCCCCAGGGCCACCCAGAGCCCCGTGCGGAGCTCGCTCCGCCCTGGCCCTGCAGCTGCCCCAGGAGGAGGTTGTGGGTGGCAGAGCTGGCAGCACCCACGAGCAACGGGGTGCCCGCGAACAGCGGCGCCCGGCCGTGCCGGGCAGTACGGGCGGCTGTCGCCGTGGCGCTCCCGGGCTGGCCAAAGCGCTGTCCCTGCTGCGGGGAACGGGGCCGGCACGGGAATGGCCCGGGAATGGCCCGGGAATTGCCCGGGTCCGGCACGGGACCGGCACGGGAACGGCCCGGGGCGTTCCCGTCCCGCAGGATCCCGGGCTGGAAGCGCTCGCAGCGCTCCCCCGGCCCAGCCGCCCGCCCAGGCCGGGCAGCGGCGGCTGCGGCTCCGCTGGGCTCGGAGGGCACCGGCCCGAGGCTCGCCCTCACCGGCCCGCCGGGGCGCGGACGGGAGCCACACGGAACGGGATTGGGTCCAGGTGGGTGTGGGGTGTCCCCGGGGAGGGACAATCTGTCCCGGGCACAGGGAAAAGCGGAACCGCACGTTCAGCTGGAGCTCCTGAGCACCCGTCCCCAGCCGCCAGCACACAACAACCACCAAGGGGCAGCTTCAATTCTTTCAATTGGCACTGAAAGGTCTGCGCTCTCCGGTACAAGTCATCCATGACTCCTATACAAATAATTTAGCATCCATCTACATCATTTACAGCTGTACAGAACAACTCTGGACACCAGCCCACCCTCCAGCCCAGCTCCAAGCCTTTTGGCTTTTGGAGCCTTTTGTCTGTGTGTGCAAGCCCCACAGGGCAGCCCCGAAGAGGCAGAGGGGTGCAGAGCCACTGCTCACCCCTTAAAGCCCGCACGACCCCAACAACAGCAGCTGCTTTTGGGGGGTATCCGAGGTGCCTGAGAGCTCCTGCCGCCCCGCAGCTTCCTTCAGGGACTCAATGTTTGCTGCTCAGGTCTGGCACAGGGGAGGAGCAACAGCGTTTGGGTTGTGAGGTGAAAACCTGACCCCTGCCGGGCTCTGAGGCATCTCCAAAAGGATCACTGCTGCTGCCGGCGGCCCTGGGCTCCCAGGACAGCCAGCGCCACCTCCGCGGGTCTTCCTCTCTCCTCCCCGATGGAGGAGCTCAGAGCTTTTCCCTGACTTGTGCAAAAGGTGAGAGCTCAGTCCTGCAGTGGCTGTGCCCTTGGCAGGGGCATGGGGCACTGTCACACTGTCACCGGCGGGGCAGGGCTGTGCCCTCCAAGCCTATCCACCTCTGCTGGGGCAGCTCTTCACACCGTCACCATTTAAAGTCACCACTGGTGGCTTTTAGTGCGTTTTCGTTCCCCACGTCCTCTGAGATGACCCCACGTCATAACTCACAGCCCCTTCTCCCGTCTCCTTCACGGGATGACTCCTGCAAAAGTGTTGATGGGCAGCAGCAGAGACTTGGGCAGGTATTTCACAAGCCCCACGTCTTCTGTTTCCTGAGGGCTGAGTTTCGTGGTCCTCGTCTTCTGCAGGCAGTAGCTGGGCTCGAGGCAGGGAGACACGTCCAGGCTGGAAGAGCACAGAACACGTTTCCTGCATCCCTGAGCAAAGCCCAGCTCCCCCACTGCCTCTGGGGAGGGCTCTCCCCCCGCCAGGTGCAGCTGCATTTCTGCTTTTTGCAGCTGGGTCTGACTGCAGAGATGAGCTGCTGTGACAGTGCTTGGCACGAGCCCAAGGTCCCGAGCCTGGCTCAGCGGGACTCAGGAATTCCCAGTTTATGCTGGCTGGACCTTGAGCCACCAGCACATCCCAGGCCAATGCAGCTGCTCCAGGCACATCAATCCCGGCCCTTCCACAGGGCTGGGACCTCTCCCCGCCTGCGCCTGCTGGAGCCCCCGGGGCAGGGATGCAGTGGTGCAGAGAGCATCAGCATCCCGATCTAATTCACCATTCCGGAGATCTCAGCTCTGCCTGTCCCTGGGGGTGCCCGCGCTTCCGCTGCCTCCATGACAGCAGCTTTTGTGTCAAGCACCATTTGATCCTCACACCACCCCCCAAAACCACAAATGCAGGAGAGCCCCAGCATGCCCCGCTTTCCCCGGAGAGGGAACGTGGGGTTTTTGTCAGGGATGAGGATCGGGGCTCCCGGAACACAGGAGGGGATGCAGGGCAGGCGTGCAGGGCCCGGCACCCCGGGTTCTCACCCGATCACGTCCCTGTAGGTTCTCCTGCTGTCCTTGTCCAGCCGCACCGTGAAGGGTCTCTGCTCTGGGCTCCTGACCTTGATAATCCGTGTTCTGAACCTGTTTGCCACAGCCTGCGTGGGGAGAGGAGGCAGAGCCCGCTGAGGCTGTCCCTGCCCTCCCCGGGCTGCGTGCTGGGCGTGGCAGGGACAGAAAATGGCATTTCTCTGGTTTTCTTTTTTAACCTCAGATGTGGCACAAAGCGAATCCTTTCTCTGTATTCAGAACCTGGCACTGACCAGCAGGGATGAGTGACCAGCAGGGAGGGCACTGACCAGAGGGATGGCACTGACCAGCAGGGAGGGCACCCAGGGTGTCTGGGGCTTTGGCTCAAACATCCAGACTTTTCCACAGAAAATAATCACCAAACGCCCTCGGAGCAGGGTGGCCCCAGAGCCTTCTCCTCCCCTCAGAGCTGCCCTGTCCCTGCTGTGGAAGGGATCTGGCCCTGAGGATCCCACGGGTACTCACTGAGAAGGAGCGGCCTGCCAAGTGGCTGCTCTTGATGATTTCGGTGACGGTCACGCTCAGGCAGCCCAGGCCTGGGACAGAAGCAGAGGGTTGGTCTGGGGCCATGGCACAACCTCAGCTCAGCTCCCCGGGGCCCTGCCCCACATTTGGGTGCACTGGCTATGGGCACACGGGACTCCAGCAGGCTCAGTGGGCACAGGAATCGTGTGGGATCGTGCCCAGAGTGGGGTCAGAGGCTGTGCCAAGGGCCAGCTGGAAGAGGAAGGCTGGAGCTGAAATCCTCTCTGAGCCTCAGACACATCATTCCTGAGAAAAACCCAACCAGAGCATGGGAACACCAATATTCCTGTCCCTAATTCCACCCCAGAGCCCAGACACAGCTGGCACCAAGGACCGTGGCCAGATTTAGTGCCCTGAGCCCCAGGAACCTCACAAAGCAGGAGGAGCCCACCTTCAGCCTCCTCAGCAGGGATGGCCTTCATCAGCAGGCCCGTGGAGCGCAGGGCCAGCGCCAGCTCCTTCTGCCGGTCACTCAGCACGACCTGCGGGAAGGGTCAGGGTCAGCGTCCTGGCACAGCCCTGGCACAGCCCTGGCACAGCCCTGGCACAGCCCTGGCAGGGCTGGGCACAGCCCTGGCACAGCCCTGGCAGGGCTGGGCACAGCTTGTCACAAACACAGGGGAGCCAACAGGCTCTGCACAGCCCCTCTGTCCTTGCCTGGACAGCAATTCCAGAGCAAAGAGGCAGGGCCAGTCCCCTTTTAGGAGATCTGTGCCCTGGAACAGAGACATTTGGGGTGCAGGAGCCCCACTCACCCTCCTGTAGGTCACGGTGAGATCCATGCCAGGCCCATCCAGGGTGCTTTTCCTCTTGGCTGTGCTCAGCTCTGCCGGGAGGGAAGAGGGAGGGGTTGAATCTCCCTCACCCCACCTGCCTGTGCTCAGCAGAGGGATCCTCCCCTGGGCTGAGACCCCCAGTGTCCCACACTGAGACCCCCAAGTGTTCTGCCACACTTTGTCCCCTCTGCCCCTGCCTCGGGATGGGGGGCTCTGTGCCAGCCTGGGTGGCAAATGTGCACTGATGGGGCAGCAGAGTGCACCGATGGAGGAGCTGGCTGGGACTGCTGGAACAGCCCAGCCTCCACACAGCGTTATTCCATCCCTGGCAGCTCGAGGAACTGGATTTCTAGCAGGAAAAGGCCTGGCTGGGAAGCCCAGCTTGTTTCCTCAGCTAGAGCAGGGCTTGGGTCCAGTCCCGAGCGTCCTGGGCCAAGTGAGGCAGAGAACAAACCGGGGCCAGGGGTGCCAGGACTGGCACCAGCCGGGCTCCTGCCCAGGAGGAGGTGGAGGCCATCAGGGAAGTCCTGCCAGGAGCAGGGAGCATTGCCCACGGCCTGGGGCTCCGCAGGCTGGGAGCTGGGGATGGCAGGAGCCCGCCCGGGCTGGTGGGACACGCTCACCTCTGTGCGAGGGGCTCTCCTGCACCTGCACCAGCAGCTCCGTGAGGAACACGTCCTCAGCTGGGTCCTGTGCTGGGTCCTGGAACAGGACCTGAAAGAGAGGGACAGCCCTGAGAGGGAGAGCCCTGAGAGGGACATCTCTGGGAGACACAGCCTGACAGGAACACCGCTGGGGACGTCTCCTCTGTCACCCTGAGGTGTCACACGAGGCTCACAGCCTGGACAGCTTCTCCAGAGCAGCCGTGGGGAGCTGGGACCTGACCATGGCGCTCAGGGTTCCTGTGGGGAGGGGCTGCCAGAGCTGCCAGAGGAGCAGCGAGGGAAGGGTTAATGTTGTATGCCCAAATTTAGCCCTTCTTTGCTGCCCTATCAAACAGGCCTCGCTCTGATACCATTTCAGAGCAAAGCTGGCAGGAAATCAGTGAAACGGTGCTGCAGGAAACCCTGCAAAGCCCCTGCAGGTACAGGAGGGTTTGGCAAGGCTGCTCAGCAAAGCCCTGCTTGCTCCCAGCACCTGAAGCAGGAGGAGGTCCAGGGCTCCTGAGCACCCCGAGCCCAGCAGAGCAGCACATCCCTGACCCCGTGGGGCATTTCAAGGCTCCCTTTGCTGAGCTGAGATCCCCAAACCGCCCTGCCAGGGTCATTGGCTCCAGCTGAGCGGAGCTCCAGGGTCACGGGCTGGGGGCACGGGGAGCCAGGCTGGGATCTGCTGGGTGCCCCCAGAGCCCGCTGGCTCTGCAGGGCCCTGCCAGCCCCTGCAGGGCCGCTGGAGCCAGTGCCAGCTGTGCCACTCACCTTGACGGAGTGCACCTGGAAGAGGACGGGCTGGGTGCCCATGCGGGCGTAGTAGGCGATGACATCGGGGAGGAACAGGTCGGTCACCAGGGCCCTGCTCGGTGACGAAGGCTGGGGGCAAATCACAGGCTGGCTCAGCCCCTGACACTTCTCCAAAACCCTGCCACAAAGTCTGACACCCTCCTGGTCACAGAGGGAGGGATGAGCTGGCCTCTGGCCTCCCACCTCCCGCCCCGTGTGCGTGGGCTGGCAGGGCTGGCAGCCGTGGCTCCAAGTGCCGGGAAATGACAGAAATGACAGCTGGGGGGATTTCAGCAAGAGCTTTCTCTCCTGAGAGCTGCCATTTCCTGTCCCCTGGTCAAAGCCACCCATCACAGCAAATGGCTCTTGTGGGCTGGGGCAGTGTCAGGGGAAATCTCTGCCTGGGGATGGAGAGACTCCTCCTCGGGTGCTACGGGTGTTTTTGGGAAATGGGAAGGGTTTCCTCCTACCATGGTGGCCAGCTTGGGGATGATGTGACACAGGGTGTTGATGTTGCTCTCGTACCAGGGGTCAGCCCTGCCCAGGTACCCGGCCACCTCGCAGAGCTCCTCGGGGCCAGCGTGGTCCTGCAGGGAAACACAGCTCACAGCCACTCCAGCCTGGGGATCCTTTGCTTTTCCTGGACTTCTATCGAGCAAAACGTGAGGAGAAGGTCCTGGAGAACCCCCCCAGCCCTAAATCCAGCTCCTGTGGGACTCGGCTCACACTTCTGGGAAGCCTCCTGCAGCCCAGGAGGAGCAGGGGGCTCACCGTACCAGGAGCCATAAGGAGGCAGAGACACCTGTGACATTCCCCCATCCCTTCCCCTTCCTGCTCATTTGGCAGGTGCTCAAGCACAAAACTTCCCTGAGGAATGAAAAGAAGGAATTCTGATTTTCTAACGGCCTGTTTGTCAGGGGTCACAGCCGGCTCTGGGCCAGCTTAAAATATCCGAAATGCAATTATTTGCCTCTGTCCAAGGGGAGGGTATGTGCCTGACATAAACCACAAGTAGAGACTCACAGACCTAACACCGGGGCCATGGCCAAGGAGGGAAAGCCCTCAGTGAGCAGCAGCTGCTTCCCCTCAGCATTTGGGAGGTGGGAGAAGCAGCAGGGCTCAGCTGAGCCTCTGCAGCCGAGGCCTGGAGGCAGAACTGAAGGGCTGTGACCCCAAACTGAGCCCCACAGCCCCGTGCTGGCTCCCCCCCTCCCTGTTTCGGGGCCAGGGCAGGGCCGGGTGGGAATCCCTGATCCCCCTGCTCTACCCCCAGGCTCCCAGCCCCGGCACTCACGGCTGCGGCCGAGGGCACCACGGGGATGTGGTAGAACTGCAGGTCCAGCCTGGGCGTCAGGAACACTCGGCGGGCCTCCCGTTTCCTGGAATGAAAGCGGAGATGTCCCAAAGGGAAGGGGCAGAAGGCGGCTCCTGGGCCAGGCTGGCAGTGCCAGGACGCTGTGGCTGCTCTGCCACGGGCCCCCTCGATGCCTCCTTTCCCAGGATGTGCCCTGGGTTCCCAAATCAAGCGCAGGAGGTGATGGGGAGCCTCAGAGAGGTTTTTGTCAGGGCTTGGTGCCCCTGCACACGCAGCTCTGCTCCCAGGCTGCCCACACTGTCACCCACCCTGGGGCACCAGCTGGGGGCATCACCTGGGAAACAGCTTCCCTGGAGGATTTGTCCCTTGGGCACGGGAAATCACCTTGCCCCGTTTGTTGTTCATTGAACCGAGCGCCCGGACAGAGGGGAGGAGCGGCCGTGTGCGTTTGGGAGCCAGCAGCGGGACCCGAGCCCGGCCCGGGCACCGCTGAGCCCCCCCGGGCATCACCGAGCCCCACCGCCCCAGCCAGCCTGGCTGCTCCCCCAGCCCGGGTGTCCCCCCGAACCCCCGGGTGCCCCCGGGTACCTGAGGGAGTGGAAGGCTTGTGCCAGGCGGCCCAGGATGCGATCGTCCCCCAGCAGCACCACGCGGGCGGTGTGCAGCCTCCGGCGCGGGGCCGCGGGCTCGGGGGGCATCCCTGCCCTGCCGGGCGTCTTGCCGGGGGGCTTTTCCCCGGGCACAGCGCTGCCAGCCTGCAGGAGGGCCACGCTGTCCAGCGGGGACGGCTTTTTCTTGATGCCGCCCTTCCTGTGCAGCCGGCGGCGCTCGGCGCAGGGCGCGCACGGCTCGTCGGGCGCGGGCAGGTCCCGCTCGATGCCGCTGTCCGTGGACAGCACCGAGAAGCGGCTCTGCCCGCAGCAGCCGCAGCCCGGCAGCAGCTCCGGCAGCTCCGCCGCCTCCAGCCCCTGCCCCGGGCCCTCGGGCTCGCAGCTCTGCGACAGCGGCCGCAGGAACAGCACCAGCTCCTTCCCTGCGGGCACGGGCCGCGCTCAGCGGGGAGAGGGGCACAGCCCGCTCCTGCCCCGGCTGCCCTCCTCCCGCGGAAGCTCGGCCAGCGGCTCCGGGACAGCCAGCCCTTCCGTCCCGCTCCAGCTGAGCGAGATCGGTGCCACCCGGTGCCACCCGGTGCCACCCGGTGCCACCCAGTGCCAGGGCTCCAGCCCGGGCTGGAGGGGACCCTGGGGACGATCTCGCTCCCAAGCCCTGCCATGGCAGGGACACCAGAGCAGGCTGCTCCGAGCTCCACCCGGCCCGGCCTTGGACACCGCCGGGGCTGGAGCACCCACACCAGTCAGGCGCTGTGGGCACGTCCTGCTGCAGCCCCGGCTCCTTCAGCAGCCAGGAGGGAGCGCTGGGGCAGCAGCACAGAGCTGCACGAGCTTGGCACAGCACTGCCCAAACTCCCGGCCCAGGGGTCAGGGCTAAGGCACCCCTTGGGACAGCACCCCCAGGCTCAGAGCCCAGCCCGCACCCCGGGGCACTCACAGAGCTGCTCATCCTCTGTCCACAGGTGGAAGCTGATGTTGGGGTTGGGCAGGGGGGTCCCCTGCAGCCCTTCCTGGGGAGCATTCCCTGGGAAAACAAGGATGCTTGGAGCACATGGCAGCGTTTCCCCACGCAGCAGCACGAGCTGAGCACGGGCTGAGGCAGCCCTGGGGCTCTCCCAGCCCAGAGCTGCTGGGGTGAGGCCAGACGTGAGGCTGGGAGGACCCAGCCCTCAACGACCGAGCCATCGCCAAGTGTCTGCACCACTGGAGGGAGGGAGAAATGGGAAGGGGGAAACTGAGGCACGGGCAGGAGCCATGGCAGGGACACGAGGGGACACGAGGGCTCCCGTCCCCAGGGCAGGCCTGCCCGGGGCTCACCTGCGGGCGAGGAGCCCAGGATGCCCTGGTAGATCCTCTCCAGCCGTGCCCTGTGCTGGCCTCGGCCCGAGCCCCCCGCGCTGCCCTCCACAGCCGCCACCACCTGCTGGAAGCAGAGCTCCACGTCCCCCGCGGGCAAGGCCTGTGGGAGAGGGGAACAGGGGAACCGGGGAACGGGGGAACAGGAATGATCGGCAATGATCGGGAATGATCGGGAATGATCGGGAATGATCGGCAATGAATGATCGGGAATGATGGGGCCAGGCAGCGGAGGGGCAGGAGAGCAAAGGAGTCCTGCAAAAACTGCCCCGGGGGACACGAACGCCCTCCTGCCCCAGCAGACGCTGCCTGTGCTGCCTGCTCCCAGCTCCTTTTGGGCAGCCTTGCAGCTGAAGGGCAGCGTGTCCCCCGTCAGCGCTGGCACCTGGGGTGACTCTGGGGACATGGGGACAGCAGGCACACGAAGGTGGCCTGCAGAGTTTCTGAGGCAGACGTTTGTGTCACTGTGAGCCCACAGCTCCTTCAGGAGGGTTGGGAGAAAACTGATTGAAACCTTTCCCCTGAGAGGTTCCTGCAGTGCCCAGGGGCTCCCAGAGGAGACTACAGAGACTCTGCTTCAGCTTTGCTGTGCAAAACCAAACTCAGGCTGAGTTCCAGCCTCTGGCTCTGCTGCAGCCACTGCTTTGCATTCGAAGGGTGTTTGAGTTCAGCCCCAGCCCAGCCCTGGGGCTGCAGACCAGCGCTGGGGATCTTGGGGAGTTTCTCCACTTGCCAAAACACCTTTTGCTTCTCCAGGGTGTCCAGGCAGAGCAGGACCAGGGAAAAGCAGGGCAGGAGCTGCTGTGTTACCTGGAGCCGCGCCCTGAGGCCGTGGGTGTCGCAGGTGTCACCCAGGGCCGCCTGCAGGGCGTGGGTGACCACGCAGCTCATGCAGCCCCGGCGGCTCTGGGACACCTGGGCCGCCTCGGTGTCGGTGGCCAGCGCCTTGCAGATGGCTTCGGGCAGCAGCTCGGGGTCAGCGAAGATGAAAATCCTGGGGGGCAGCAGGGTGGGCAAAGGGGGAGAGGCAGACTCGCATCAGCGGCACCAGGGCTGGCAGGAGCAGCTCTCGTCTCACTTTTTCCATTGCTGCTGTTGATCTTCCCCTTCTCCACCCCGTCTCCCCACCAAGGGCAGCTCCCTACATCCCAAAATAATGGGGGAGAACGTTCCCTCCCGAATCTGGTGACGGACTGGATCTCGCCCAGCAGCGTCCCCCAAGGCCGCGAGGCTCAGGCCCAGCTTGTCTGGTCCAAGCAAGACTAATTCCGAGTGTTGAAAAGGACGGGTTTCCCTGGGGGGCACGGAACCAAAGCCCAGCCCTGGCCAGGGGCAGCACCCACCTCTCCTGGAAGGGGAAGGGTGCGCTGGGCAGGCTGTGCTCGGAGATGACCATCCTTTGGAACAGGGTCCCTGCGGGCACAAACGGCGCTGGCAGCGGGGGCACCGTGCCTGGCCCAGGCTGCTCCAGCTCTGCAGCCTGAGCGGGCTCTGCCCTGCCAGGGAACACCCGCTGGGCACGCCCCAAGCTGCCAGGAATGGAGCCAGAACTAAAACCAGCCCAGGACACCCAGGAAAAGAAACCCCCTTCTACTCCAATGCTTTGCTGGGGTTCCCTTCCTTTGTCTGGGAGCTTGGGAGCGGAGCTGGAGGCAGGAGGGACAGCTCTGCCCCCAGGGCCACCTGGGGACGGCACTGGGGACACCTGAGGAGCAGCAGGGTCTGTGGATCAGGAGGGAGGCACTGCCCTGGCCCTGCCTGGGGCAAGGGTCCGTCCTGGCCTGGCTCAGGGACAGTCCTGGCCTGGCCCAGGGACAGTCCTGGCAGCCCTGGCCTGGCCCAGGGACAGTCCCAGCCTGGCTCAGGGCCAGCCCTGTGGCTGCTCCGAGGGGAGCCCTGCTGGAGCCCCCCTCTCTCCACCTGAGCCATGCCTGTACTAAAGCTCAGGGGAGGGAAAGGAGCCCCTTGGAGGCAGTGCTGGGGAGGAGTGCTTGGGGTGTGGCCTGAGGCTCCCCAAAATGGCACCAAAATCCCCCACCAGGTCTCTTCTGCTTCCCCTCCCCACACCTCACAGGGTGTCTGCACCTTGCTCTGCTCTAAAGGATTGTTTGAAAGGCTCCTATTAAGGAAAACTTGACCTGGAAGAGCTTTAGTGGGAACAGAGAAAAAGAACACAGAGAGAAAAGGAACCAGGTGTCCTTGGGCTTGCTCCCTACCGGGGCTGTTGCCTGCAGCCCCACTGACACCCCCGTGTCCAGGGGCTGCTTCAGAGCTGGTTTCCTCCCCTGGGGGGCCCAGCCTTGGCAGCCCCCCTTACCTGGGGCTGTCCTCTCCAGCTGCAGCCTGCTGGCATAGTCCAGCCCGATGGTGCAGAAGGGCTTGGGCAGGGTCAGCAGCCTCTTGCAGAAGTCATAAACCCTGGCACAGAGCTCGTCAGGGATGCAGGGAGCCTGCAGGGGAACAGGGGGGCGACAGGCAGTGACCCCTAAATCTGCCCCAAATTCCCGGCACCGAATTCACTACAGAGAAGAACAAGGGGCAGAATCGGGCCCCGCAGTGCTTTGGGAACCTCCAGCAATACCCGCTGGAGCTTGGGGCACTTTGTCTTGCCAGCGTGTGGCTCCTGCAGGCACCACAAGGGCTCAGGTGGAGCTGGAGCTCTGTGTGCCACAGGGACACGGGACATGCCCAGCTGAGCCTGCCCAGGGCCGTGCCAGGGCTCTGCTGGCTCTGGGGGGCTGCTCCAGGCTCTGGGTGCCCCAGCAGCCCCTCCTTGGCCCCGATGTCCCCGGGCTGGCACAGCCTGGCACCGGCCCCCGACTCACCTGGATCAAGGTGTACATCAGCGTGTGCAGCAGGGGGATGATGTAGTGCCGCAGGTCCCCGCGCTCGGCCTGGGACAGGGCAGGACAGGCACAGTCAGGGCCTGGCAGGGCACCGCGCTGGGCAGGGCAGCCCCAGAGCCCCCAGCGTGGGCCAGGGTCTCTGGGGAGGCACTGTCCCCTCCCTGGGGTGGCACTCACCCTCTCCAGCTCCTTCACCAGGATGCTGACCAGGGTACAGCTGGTTCTGGGGTTCTGGTCCGTTCTCTTGTGCAGGGTCCAGCGCAGCATTCCTGGGAGGGACAGCCGGGGGACCTCAGGCCACCACGGGGGGACCCGGCTGAGCTGTCCCGGGCACCCGGGAGCCGGGCACTGCGGTGCGGAACTGCCCTGGCACACCCCTGAGGGCCACGGCAGCTCCTGTGCCCTCTCTCCCAGCTGTGCCCCTGGGCCCCTGCCCTGGCTCTGGGTGGCACACGGGGTGGCACACGGGGTGGCACACACTGCTGGGGCATGGACACAGCTGCTGAAGGATTTGGCCGCTCTGGAGAGGGTGGGGAAGGGGGATGGGTGCAGCCGCCGTGTCCCCGCTGGCAGTGGGAGGGAGGGGGTCGGGGCAGGAGTGCCCGGGTGGTGCCAGTCCCTCACCTCGGTCACTCTGGCAGGACGGGTGGTGCCCGTCCAGCTCCCGTAGCAGCGCCCGCACCCGCCGCAGGATGTCCGACTCCAGCTCTGCAGGGACAGTAGCGCCTGAGCCAGGCTGGCACTGCCAGGGGACAGCCGGGACAGAGCCCTCCCCATGGCACCCAGAGCTTTCAGTGCCCCCAGAACCCTCCCCATGGCACCCAGAGCTCCCAGAGCCCCCAGAGCCTTCCCCATGGCTCCCATATCCCCCAGAGTCCCCAAAGCCCCCAATGCCCTCAGTGCCCTCGGAGCCCCCCAAGCCCCCCGAGCCCCCCGAGCCGCCCTGCACACCCAGAGCTGTGCCCAAGGCTGCTGGAGGTGCCAAAGGGTGCCACAGAAGCCCAAAAGTGCTGGCCCAGCCTGGCTGGGAGTTCTTCCGGAGTGCAGCTGGTGACCCCGGGCTGTCCCACCCCCGCTCCAGAGGCTTTCCTGGCACCACGCTCATTTTTACAGCTTGGCACAGGACAAAAGGCTGAACTTTGTCGCCATGGTACCATCCTAAAGGTGCTGCCATTGCCTC